ACAAACTTTTTAAAACCAAAATAGAACAAGAAAACTACTTAACAATTATGAAAAACAGTGAACTTCGCAAATCCTTAACAAAATTTAGACTTGGCAACCACTGTCTGAAAATTGAAACAGGCCGGCATACAGGATTGGATTTTAAAGACAGAGTCTGCAATATGTGCGACAATGACCATGTTGAAGATGAACAACATTTTGTCACAAATTGTCCTCATTACAATGAAATAAGATCAAAACTTTACATTGTAGCTAATAAACGTATACCAAATTTTGACAAATTTAGTAATGAAAATAAATTCATATCATTACTAAGTGACGAGAAAATGTCAATTCCTTTAGCGCAATATTTAAAAAACTGTTTTAATACAAGACAGCAGCACCTACATAAACTAAGCCAGTAATACATTCCTTGTATTCAACTTATTATCTTTTTTTTTTTTTTATGCCTTTTTGTTCCCTTACTCTTTATGTGGTTATTTTTCTTTTACTAATATCTGATTTGTAACCCTTTTCATCCCCTCCGAGGGATGTTGTGTGTTAATAAATAAATAAATACGAGTGGTGGTGCGAGTTGGTTTGGTGCGAGTTGGCATTGGTGCGAGTTGGTCTGGTGCGAGTTGGTATGATGCGAGTTGGTTTTGGTGCGAGTTGACCTGTGACCGATAGGACCCCCCCCCCCTCTCACCCTCCTTCCTGTGACACATACAAACAATACAAAACGCTGGGTTCTACTTACATCGCATCGTATGGAAAGCACTGTAGACATTCTTCTTAAAGCTGTTACCCAATTTGAATTCATGTGTTTGATTATCGGTCAAAATCCTGTTGCTACTTGCGTCGTGAGCATAATTTCTCTCTGCCATATTGCGGGTTTGACGACAGCGAAACGTGTACACAGAAAAGTATGTTTGACTACGAATGCTTGACAATTAGAAAAACTATGGTCTTCACACCCTTGTGAACGTCGGAGAATCCATCGATTGATGGAAACATTCCATGTCCAAACCACTACAAATGTGTAATGAATACTACGAAAATCACCACATTTCCCCCAAGATGTAATAATAACGAAAACCCGGAAGTAAGAAGCATTCTGGGTGTTCCTCGTTCGTGAGACCCCTTATGTTCCCGGTACATATGCAACTTGTTGATATTTCCTGGTGTTTTGCTGGCAATGTGATACTCATTCTGATGATGACAAACATCCTTATTATCACAGTTTTTTTTTTTAATTCTTCTATTTCTGAACCCAACTACAATGTACTTGAAATAATTTATATGCAAACGACAAGAGTAAAGAAGTATCAAACAAACTTATGGTGGCGCTGTTTGAGACGAGAGTTTTGAAATGAAACCATGATTTGCTTGAGGCAATCACAGTGGAGTGTTGAAATGTCTTCTAGAATCGTTCTAGAATCCAAATCGTAGTATAGATGTACTTTGAATATGATGTACACAGTGTAAAACTTGGAGGGGTTGTTTTAATTAATATGGAGCGATCCATCCATCCTGTTAGAACTTTGACCAAGGAAGAACAGCTGAAACTAGAGAAGGATACTACTCTGTTATCTGAGTTCAAAAGGAATAAGTTAGAAAAAGAAGCACAGAGAAATTGGGATTTATTTTATAAGAGAAATTCAACTAATTTTTATAAGGATAGACACTGGACAACAAGAGAATTTGAAGAACTTCGGAATGAGTCTGTAAGTATTCTTTAACCTTTTCACCAACACCCTCTTTTCATCACGAATTTACAAAGTACAATGTAGTTTAGTTTATAGTACTTTCCTTCAGAAAATTGGGACAAAAATAGCCAATGTTTTTCAGTAAAAACTGAACATGGACTCATTTGGTTCATTTCAAGAAATATTAAAGAGTACAGTGTATAAGAAAAAAAGTGCAAAACAATTCAGTATACATTAATTGCCACATGTCATGATTGCCATACCATTTAAATAAAATCAAAATGGCTGTTAGAATTCTAAATGACTAATCCAGCAATGGTGTTGTGACATCGTAAAGAGTTTAAATTGATTGTAATTTGTTAGTTCAACATCATCCATGCAACAAACGTTTTGTGATCAGACACTATGTCTCATTCAGATATGATTGTAGGTATGCACAAGCAGTATGGGTATAGACAATTGGGGGAAAGAGTTCCTTTTGTACCACTACTTGAACCCTAATTTTAACCAGGCCTCTCTCCCAGCCCCAGCCCCAAATTCAATTGTCTTATGCCCCTCTAGGTAACTATAGGTGTCATATGCAATTTAATTGTTGAGTGCTGGAAGGTAGGGGTGGATTTAAAGTTAGGGGTGGGATACAGGTTTCTATTACACACTGTATTTACATGGTATTGATTGAAGTTTATTTCATTTTAATGATGGTGGTATGATACAATGTATGGTTTTGAATAGAACGAAAATTTGACCTAGAAAGTGAAATGCCATATTGGAAAACTACTGTAAAATACTTTATTTTAGCTGGAATTAATTTTCGCTGAAACGACTTTTTGAGTCTTTTGTGTGGAATATATTTTCACTGATTTTTGGCGAATGGAATGTAAAATATAGGTAGAAAAGTTACCGGGGTATATTCGCTGGATTTTATTTTCACTGAAGAAAAATAGCGAAAATTAATTCTAAGCGAAAATAAAGTATTTTACAGTACTATGTTGTGTCGGGTACGTTTCATGTCACTTTGTGACAATAACTTGAGGTGTGTAATTATTCTTGAATTTAAATTTCCGATATGCATTACTAGTAACTGACACACATGAACACAATGCAGGGTTGACTTCTGCATTAAGAAAAAGGTAATAATTTAAATTTTCCCAAAGTACACTGAAGTCAGCTATGGAATGTTTATACAAAATGTATTTATAAATGTTAATACTGTTTTCATCTGAAATAATTCTCATTCAAATCCAAATAAATTGGATTGGTTGGGAAGCCACCTTTCCATTCTATGTGTACCGTGAAGTACTCATGTATAAATGTGTAATGTATACAACGTGCAACTACCATTTGAGTTAAATATTATATTATACATGTATAAATATTATATTAATAAATAATGTACCCATCTTACCTGACTCTGGTGCAACTGACCATTAAATAAAATCTTTCATTTCAAATTATCATGAATTTTGCATGACCCTAGCATTGATTTGTAAATTACTTTCACAATAAGAATCGTCTACTAGATGTCTGTAAAATTTTATGTCTGTCAAATTTCATTGTATATGTTAATAATTCCTGGAAACCATGGTCTAATTTCTCCGTGACAATAATCTGAGTGTATCAAGCTATTGCATATATTATATTTTTCAGAGTGATGGTAGTAAAAAGATTCTTCTAGAAGTTGGATGTGGTGTTGGTAATTTTCTTTTTCCGCTCCTTGAAGAAAATCCACATTTGTTTATTTATGCATGTGACTTCTCTCCAAGAGCAGTGCAGTTTGTCAAGGTAAATGATGAGACACAGATGTATACAAACACAGTGTACAGCTGTGTAATCCCACACCAATGTTCAATGGCTTAATAATTTATCAATTTAGCTAACATTACTGTAACATTGGCCTTGGCAAATTCTCTTCATACTTTGTATGAAGGTCATGTCATTTTGTTCAGCAATTAATTTTAAATTTCAGCAACAAAGAATCCTGATGACAGTATCAAACAAAAACTGAAAAATTGGGAATTATATTCTCTGTTTGTCAAGAATATATGCTTCAAAGGTTTCAATGATTAGAATAAATTGATGTGCCATGTGAATGTTCACGGTAGACAGCAATAAGTAATTGTTCGTTCACTGAGATTTTGCATAATGTTTGAATGGTTTTGAAATTTGTTTTAATTAAGTTCAATGTTGAAATTCTGAACCGTGATCCAGAAGAGAAATACGAGATTGAGTTGCACTTACATGCACTTCAGTAAAATTAAGCATCATCAAAATCAAACACATTAAGTATAGAAGTATCCAAAAATATACTTTCGCATTTGTTAAATCCTATGCGAGGTTTGGAGGTCACTACAACTCTATGACCATATTTGTCTTGTTTTTTTACTTTCGATTTCACGCATAACGTGAGAACTCGCAATAAACGGAAAATGGTCTATTATTTGGGTAATTGATTATATACAAACATCACTAAACGATATATAAGATAAAAGATTCTAAATAAGCAAAGTATTATACAGCGTTAAACAAGATGATGGATCTTGTTGCATAGCAACAGATGTGGCTTGTATACAATTTGAACTCATTCGAACACATAGTTGCAGCAACCATGATCCTTGAAATAAATGCTTTATTCTTTCTACAAACAATCAATAAAATTACTATTGTACTAGTATTTGTTTACTGTTCTTGTTATTTCAGGACAATGCTCGTTATGAACCATCAAGAATTGAAGTGTTTCAGTGTGATTTAACTACAGATTTGTTATCATCTCGGATAGTAGATTGTAATGTCAACATTGTAACCATGATATTCGTATTGTCAGCCATACACCCTGACAAGATGGTACAAGTCGTTAGAAACATACACACTGTGAGTAGTCAGTAGTTACCTTGGATAGATCGAGAATGCTATGTGCTGGTCTTGTACACATGACAAGAATACTATGAGACTGTACTGTGAGAACACATGCCAAATACATACATTACACATACCAATAAAGACTGCTACATTGTTTGCTGTGTCAGAATAGTTGCCTCTCAGCTTTTAGAGCTCTGCTCATAATCTGATCCACAGTACTAACAAAATACTCTAAAAATATTAAAACAAAAGAAAATTTGATTTTATCTGTGGTTTGCAATTTATTTTATTCAATTACATGTATGCACCAAGTATAAAATAGATAAGTGGTTCTTTAGATATCAAAAATTTGTCTAATATATGCAAATTAGATAAATTATATGCTTGGGTTTCAACACAAAACTTATCAAGTCTGTTGAATATCCTAGAGAAATAATATGCAATGATTTCAATAATAACTAATCAGGTCTGTGCGTTATCTCAGAGCATTCATGTATCAAGTTCCATTGAAATTTGATGAGCTGTTCTTGAGATGTCAGTGGAACAGACATGCATATAAACATACACCCATACATAAAGGGTAACCACAAAGACTTCCATTGTTTGTTTCGCAAACAGGAATAAAAAAATACAAGGTCAGTATTGATAACATCGTCCTTCATATGTAACACTGAATGTGATCTACGTGGTTTGTCCTGTTTCCAAGATTTAACTGAATAATTTCTATTTTGGTAGGTTTTAAAACCAGGTGGTTGTGTACTGTTCCGTGATTATGGTTTATTTGATCATGCTATGTTGCGGTTTGCCCCGGGCCATAAATTGGGTGATAATTTCTATGTGAGACAAGATGGAACCAGAGCTTACTACTTCTCACAAGGTAGGCTGACTTGACTATTCGTTTTCTCAGTGATTCAAATAAAACTACATTTAAATAGACGAGAGCTGCACTAATGATAAAAATTATCCCAGTCCTTTTGACTAATGGTTATTATTTTCTCACTTTCAGAAATCCTCGGTCAGTTATTCACTGAAGCTGGTTTTGAAATTGTTAGTAACGAGTATATATCTCGTGAGACTGTTAACAAAAAACAAGGACTCAGTGTTCCTAGAGTGTTTGTACAGGCAAAATTTGTTAAAAGAATTGTGTGTCACAAGAACGTTGGTGAAATGATGAACGATTCCAATTTCAATGAAGCCAGTACATCTCCTAGTTGACATTCAATTTATCACATAAAAAAACAAGACATCAGCGTGTAATATAGAGGGCGCACTATGTGTGAGTGATTGCTGATCATCAGTTTATTTGCTGAACTGTGAAATGAATATTTTACTAACCTATTATTCAATCATGTTCACTTTTTTTATATGATTCACTGCATTATTTATTACAAAATAAAATCATTTTAAATGTACAAATCAAACAAGCACGTTGTATGTGCCAAAAACAATTTATTACAAAATGTACACATGCATAAAAACATAGAATCTCATGCGGATGAAACAGCCTCCAACGATAAATAGTATCAGAAGTCGAAATTAACAGAAGTACACTCTGAAAAGCAGGTTGTCCACATGAAAATGGTTGTCCAATCATACTGTTTGATAAAACTACTTTCCAGTACCTAATATTGTGTCAGAATCCTTTCTTCCCTTTCGTATTTGAAGACAAGTGATAGTTAGGGTCAACTGCCAGTCTACCGGTATATAATAAAAACACTCGGAAGGAAATAAAGTGTGTCTAAACAGTCTGTTCAGCTTGAGAAATGATGTGAACTATTATATACTGTACTCTATGACAGCCTTGAAGCAAAATCTGATTTCACCATCATACATGTAGCTGTAATATGATTTGAAATTATTTTACAATGAGTTAATTACATAAATTGTTATATTTAACACCCACACCTGAATTATGTTATATATTTGAGTCTAAAAGCACCAAGATTTACTACGGGTACTATCAACTAATAGTATACCAATGAAAGAAGGATGCCATTGTTAACTTGGGTCACCTGTGCAATGATTTTATGTTCGCACATTAAAATTTATATTGAAATGGCCAAAACAAATTTAAGAAGGAAATGAAATCACAAATTTCAACAATTGTTTTTTAAAATGGCTACTGGTGACAAAATAAGTTGAATGCAAATGTAATGAGTGCTACAACACTTGTTTTTACCCTTCCAAAAATCAATCACATCCCGTATACTCTGTAGCCATAAAGGTCAGAATAGTGGTAATGATGGGAGAGCATTGACCACCATTTGAGAGGTGACAACAATGGTTCTCTCAAGGTAGGATACATGAATCAGTGTGGAAATGAAATTGTTAATGCATGCAGCATGGTCATTACAGACCCACAACATTATATGTCTATGTTAGCTAGTCTTAGGAACACTCTTGATATGCAAAGTGATAGAACAGCTGATGTCAACCATATGTAAATGGATTTTACTGCATAGCCAATCCGCGTTGATTACAGACTTAATCACACAGTACAGCAGTTATAAGCTAATCCGGGTTAGTCCAGGGCCACCTAGTTCACCTGCCAAAGCACAAAATAAGATAGATGAGTAAAATGCGAGTAATTACGATATTAGTGTAATCAGATATTGTGGAGGTGTAATACATTGGTTGACTAATGCCTATTTACGGAATACTTTTTTAAATGTTGAAACTAAGTTAATGTAAGTTAATTTTCGCTTTGGAGGATTGTCCTATAGAGAAGAAATATACCGTAGCATCTTTGGTACGCAGCCAAAAGTCTAAAGTACTGTATTACACTTCCACTGCTGTCATAGCAACAAGTTATTTAAATTAGAGAAGTTTCATTGTTTTTATTATTTTCCTTGTTACAATGAAAAAGTGCAAGGAATTTGTTGGTACATATAAAGTGTAGTGAGTGATGAGACTGAACAGAAAACAACACAGTGTGAAATGTGCAAATACAGTGCACTGGTGTGAAGAGACTAGAACAGCATTACCAGCATTATCTGGAAAAATACAGGACAACACAGAAAAGACAATAGTTCTGATCAAACAGTATACCAGCAATAATCTAACTTTATTCAGGGTTTTACATGTAAACATTTTCTCAATGCACATATTTTGGCTTGTCAAATTGTACAAAAATAGGCAGCTGTAACACTGCTCGTCCTGTTTGACACCCTACGATATGGTGGATACAAATATGTTAAATAGCACTGAACTGATCATCAGGAATCTTGCACAAATCAAGAGTGGTTGAATTTATATGCCAGTTGCCATTGCAACAGTAAAGAAGGGATACCACAATTGTCTACATCTTTCTGGGTTCAAAAAAAAAAGGAATTTTATTCTATCATAATTCAAGAAAATATTGATAATTATAATATCTTGCATACAATAATTATTACATGATAACAATAAACAATGGGCCAAAATAAACAAACATTTATATACATGTCAATGCTTTATATGTCGTGGTGTTCTTCCTCCTAAGACAGGTTTTGCACTTTTAGATCGTGGTGTGACAATTCTGTAGAAAACAAAGTAACAAGGGAGCATTAGCAACAGAGAAACAATAGGCCTTATGTATGAACCCATTAAATGTAATATTTCCTGGTAATTTCTACATAAACAATGAGAATTTCTCAATTATGTCCTTCCAAAATTGTAAGTAGTTCAAAAACCATTGCGGATTATTATTGTTACAGGGCAACAATACCCCCTGTGACCTTCAGGGGTGATGCATAGGGCCCATATTTGTACAATATTCACTTTTCTATCATCTAAAATGTTTGGTTATACTGCTAAGCAATTTATACTTGCATGATTTGCTTTTGAGCAAGCAATGTGGATAACTTCACCATGGATAATTGATAATTTAAATCGTCTTTTAGGGAACCGCCATTCACAAGGGAAAGTTTAATGTGTAGAATGTCGGAGCAAACATGAAAATAATATGAGGTTATTACGAGGATACTGAAAAGTATGCACGAAGACAGACCACGTACTGTCTGATAACAGATTGAGCGAACTTCTTTGTATGGGATCCAGTCAAACCAAGAAGGCTGCCATGTTTGTGTTTACGCTTATGTGCGTAATCGTATCATATTTGGAATTCACATTTCCTAATATGGTAGGATGAAAATACCCCGTAAAATACCGCAAAATTACAGCACACTGTAACTTATTGCGTTATGGTGACAGATGTATAATAATACATTATATAACATACGTTCAAATGCACAGGTCTGATTGGTTAAAACACATGATGTATGTAGTCACAACATATCACAGCAGCGATATATCGCACTTAAAACCAGGATGAAAAATGTGACATTTGGATTTTACGTTTCCACTCAGACATCTTGAAAAGTAAGGACACAAAAATATATGTGCCAGACACACAAAAACTGAAGTGGACCTGGTAAGCACTATACCTTGCTTTTATTTATTACAAGAAAAGTAGTTGATAAATAATTAATATGACAGACATCTGTAAATAAGAATGGAATAGCAATATACCAACTTATATCTTGTTTCAGTGCTATAGCTTGTGGAAAACCAGCTGAATGATGATCTATTGTTAACAACCTAGACTTACAAAATGTAGTTTAGACCTTGGCTTTGAGTCATTTCAAAACTTTATTATATAACTGAAATTTTTTTTTGAAATGGTTGAAAAATGACGTATTAATGGTATATACAGAATATATATTATGAAACGTCTTGAGGATTATTATTGATTACCAATATTTTTCACACAATAATTTAGGGGTAACATTTTGTATCAACTACCTTATAGTTCTTTATTTTTCTAATCGCTAATTATTTGTATTTTCTAAAAGAAGATAAACTACTACTCACGGTACGATATGCTCTGGATCGGTATCATCCATAATGGCAGCTTTTGTCGGTAATACACCAATACAAGCATTGACACTTTCATTCTTAGCTAGAGCCATCAGAAACCCATAGAATGATACCCTGTTGCTGTTATGTAGAATATCTTTCAATGAATTCGTCTTTGGATGACTGGTGCAAATGAAAACAAATGAAGTTTAAGAGCTGTCTGATTCAAACTAGCCATATACATGCCAAATCAGGAACATTTTTTTATAACATATATTCTCTAATTTTCGTGAAATTCAATGTTTATTTTGATTCAGATGATAAGACGATACATTTTGATGATAGACCTTAGATGCAAGCGATCGCCGATATTTTGTTAACTGTGAGTGATCTACAAGATTTGTTATCTTTTGCCCCTCTTGTGTCATCGTATCCATGGTTCCCCTAATATACACGGCTGGGAATTCAAAGACGCAACAATTGCCTTGATGCCTCCATCTGGATGTCTTCAGTACTTTCTTGAAATTGGGTCCTCTCAGAATAAAGAACCCCTGCTGATATGTAATCCCAGTATTTGGAACAGTAGTTACAATGATGGGTGAAAGTGGACCACTATTTGAGGGGGAAAAAAAACAGTCTCTTTCGATATCAAAGATATCTTGGCAGCCATTTTTATATAAGGTTGAGTCTCTCCAAAAATGAAAGTAGCAAGAATAAACATCTTACTGACAACAAGAATATGTATTAAGCTCAAATTTTTTTAAAATAATTATATGTCTGAAATCTGAGCAAAGATTTGCAAAGTCTATTTTTCTTGACTTGAAAATGCAATTCATCAATCTGAGATCACCAAACAACATCACAAAAATTACTCTTAAAGCGGGGGAGTCGTCACCTGCCCATGCGACAGATGCCATAGTGTTTACAAACAAGCCTCTACCCATGAGCCTTTGCATTTTTAGCGTGTGTTGTTATCGTCTCTTGGGACTCAATTCTCGTGTGTGCGCAGGTGACGACTCTCCCGCTTTAATACATAAATATGTACTGTAGCTATATACATGTTTTGTGGTGACAGTCACTATTGTATCAAATGTACATTGACCAACCTGCAATCTGTAACTGAACACAGCTGTAATAAAGATTCATAGAACTGCAGGCAATCAACTCCTTCTGGACTCTGTTCAGGTGGTGGGAGTGGTGTCTGTTGTTTTTTCTGTCTTGGCGATGAACTGCTACTTGGCACCACAACAGTTTCTCTCGGACTTCGAGTTGCTTGCATCAGCTTTTCATAGATCTTATAACAGTCTTGAAGGAATTCTTGAGAAAAAAGACACACTCAAAAAATTAGTAATCATATTTACATGTATTCAAATAAGAGATCTATTAAAATCTAAATTGTCTACTGTATCATTAAAATATTACTCATTTTGATCATAGAAACACCACTATAATTTAATACAGCAGGTGTAATTTTCAATCATTTTTAATATTGAACTAGTCATTTAAATTATTTATTAGACTATTATTTTTTACTAGCACTAATGTATAATGTTTTTGTTTTGTTTTTTTCATTTACAATTAATCTGACATCAAATGCATGGTGTAAGTAAACTGAATATGTTTTGCAGGTTAAAGTGGTTCAATATGACAGAAACTTCTTCCTAATTTATTAAACAGTTTAGGGACTACGTCAAAAGATCAATGTCGGATAAAAAACTTATTTGCTTTAGTTTGGAGGGGGGGGCTTGACTTCAAAAAGTTTCCATCGTACAAAAACGATTTTATTTTTTAAGTCAAAAAAATCTTGGAGTATCGGTATTTGTAGTTCCTTTTTTTTTCTATCTAATCATGGACAAAAATAAAACATCCAAGACTAGAAAATGGTTCAACTAAAGGAATTAAGTTTTTTATCCTACATTGAACTTTTGATGTTGTCCCTTAGTGGACTGGTATTAAACTTGAAAACATGAGTCATACATTAGCATGTGCTTGATGATGTCAGCGACATTGATGCATGATGAATAACCAGCCGATGTTACCCCAGTATGTGTATATCAATTGACTCTGCCCTTTATGGACAATAGGGTTGAATTACAAAACGCAGAACCGGTGAATGATACTCAGCGTATGAAACGTATCAAATGCAGACTAAAGACCCCCCACTGCGTTCCTTTATTGCGGATTTCAAGTGAATCAAGTAATTCACTGGCCCAAACATCGAAAAAATATTTCACCAAAAATAAATGTTTTATCTCTGGCGACACTGCAAGACTAACAAAATAAACACATGCTTCTCCGCAGGAAGTGAATTACCGATAACAAAAATACAACAACATCATCAGTAGGTACGGTAATTATCACTAACAAAATCACAGTTACAGCAGCTAGAGCATTACTGTCTGGCATGTATGTTTTGAAGATCCAGTAAGGTGAACACTATATACCTTCATAGTAAAACTGCAGTTGAAATGCGTAGAGGAAATCTGAGAATGACATGAGACAATCCATGGCATCATCCATGAGTATAATCCTGGCAGTTTTCTGTACCAAATCAAATGGGAAATCAGGACACAGGAGACATAGCAATGAATGATACTCTTTCACATTCAGTAGATCTGTCAAGAAATACACAATTTAATTATAAAACTATATTGTATGTCTAATATTTTGCTTGCTTGTCTTAAATGGCAGTGGTTTTATGGGTTTCATACTATGCATAGTAACATATATGCATTGTTGTCAAATGGAATGTTATTTACGAACAAATTTTGCAGTAACCACAGTTCTTTAATTATGAATATTGTGACTGAATGCAATAAACTAAAATATAGTTATGGTGATTAGGGAATTTATTTATGTACAGTGAAGAGCACAAACCCGTGCATGTTTACTTTTGGTTATAAATATATATATAATTCAAAACAGTTTATGAAACATGTGCAGTGTTCACTTCAAGGAATGGTGAGTAATATTCACTTAGCTAATCAAACTATATTATTTAGAGGGTGATAAAGAGTACTATAGTGACCACAAACCCATTCCTTTCATTTTTATAATTATTTACAAATTTCAATGACAGTTGATTCCAATGTGCCAATCAACAAACGCATTGAGCAATGTCGTCATTTAAGTTATTCTTTCGGCCAATAGAAACATCTTCTTTCATTTTGAATTGTGAAATTTATAAATATTTATAAAAATGAAGGGAATGGGTTTGTTGTGTTGATAGTTGACATGGATTTGTCCTGTCCAATGTATACCTAAAGTGTTTTGTATGAAAGAACTCAAATAAAGCTCTTCCGCAATATGGGTATTCTACAATCTGAATAATTACAATGCTTGTACAATTACAATGTAACGTATGGTTTACAAAACATTTCATGATATTACTGACTTTCATGTACAACCTTTATGTATGCATTGTATATATACATGTCAAAGTACCTACCTCCATTTTTTCCAATGTGTTTATAACATTTCCAGAATGTTCTTGTAAAGGAGGATCTATTGTGAGCAGTACTCCTGATGAAACTGTACTCTCTAAATAACGTGTGATTGCCTTGATGTATGCTGGTGAAACTAGACACAGAACAAGACACATAAATACATATTTATTGAAATATAAAGTGTTTTTTTCAGGGAAATTAATACTGAACACTTTTTACATATACTGTAAAAGGGTTAATTATTCACTGAGTTTTAATTTTGCTTATTTCGCTGACTAGAAAATGCGCAAAATTAAAACCCAGTGAATATGAAAACTTTATCATAGAACACATTATCTAAATGTATACAAATATAAACATGTTGCCTTATAGACTACATTCCATGTTATGCTACTGTGTATATTTTTATTAGTGTGAATTCTATGATACAAAAGGAAGGAGGTACTTTTCCAAAGTTTCAGAAATGTCCTGAAAACATGCATGTGGGCAGAATAAAAGAAACGATTTCTTAATTTATTTTTTTAACAGTTTTGGTCATGACCAATTTTATGCAAAATAAAAACAAAATACACATATTGATAAATGTAAAACAACAAATACACCGTGTATGCAAGTTTTGTTCTGTAAAGCAAGTGTTGAAAAAAAATGTATATTCAGTATTTAGATGGTTAGAACACACTTACTGTGTTGAACATGAACATATTGGAGAAGTTGAAAAATTTTAATAAAATCATTTTTCTATATGTTGTAGATTATATTTTTTAGTAATTTTAATGCAAATATATAGATATATTGATTGGAATTCTGAAAATTATTTGACATAATTTACACTTACTAGTCATGGAAAAATTTTGCAGGATTTACTTTAGGATTGTCTTCTTTATGGTCTAATAGTTGACTGATAGCATCTTCCAGATACACCAATACTTGATGCTTAGCTGAAAATCATAAATAATAATATAGTGTTACAGTATATATATGCAATGTTCCCAATTAAATCTTATAAGTCCACTTAGTTACTGTGAAATTTGTTTCTTACACCTAGCCATCAATATCGTCATTAATTGGCTGACAATACATCTGTGTTGCAAGCAGTTTTGCCTTAAAATCTGATAAAATCTACTGTTATTTTGAAAACAACATTGTGCTTAAAACACATACAGTTGTATTGTCGGCCAATTAGCTTAAGATATTGTAAAATTGTGAAAAACAATTTTGCAACCACAATAACCAGTTTTCAGTTTTCAAAACAGGCTGCAGTTTCAATACACTACAAATAGGAAGCTTGGCAAATTTAAACCTTTATGTCCAATCATGAATACCTCCATAGTTCAATATAATGATTAGTTTTCAGCATTAAAACACTGCATGGCCGACAATCTTGGAAGAACTCGAACTTCAGACTTGCGAAAGCACCTACCGGTATTTTCAAGAGTAAAAATTTATGAAAATGGCCTTAGCATACAAAATAGTATAGGAAATATCGATCAAGGCAAACTCAGTGGGCATCAAGGTAATTATTGCCTTCGATGCCTAAGTCACAGTCCCTCTAGAGGGACTGTGTTGTAGAGGGACTGTGCCTAAGTTAAATTCAAGTCCAGTACCGAATCTGAATGTTCCGTCGACGCCGTTAAGATGGAGATTCAACAAATTTTGCGTACTAAATACCCTATTCCAGGGCGGTAAATTGGGAACGGTACTGAGAATGATTGGTACATGTAGATATTGACAAATCACATTACTGAATTATTTATAAAAACATAATTCAATCTAAAATAAGCAATGATGTCTCCAAACAACATTATACACAGCGCGGGCGGCCATTTTGCTAGTCGGTGGCAGAGAATCGCCTGAATAACTCACCTAAGTACCCCTCGGCGGAGACCGAAAACCGTTCTGATGACATATCTGCGTGTTCCCGCCTCCTCCTAGAAGTACCTTTTAATGTTAATTCAGAAATTTATCACATATTATAAGGCACATCCGTATCTACGATGCGACGAGCACCAAAACAAGTAACCCGTTAACCGATAACCTTTGACATGCTATTTCATGAAGTTGGCCGGCAACAATAGTCAACGTTGATAGCGAGTCGTCAATAACGAATTCACATTAACTTGAGCACACCATCGATATAGCAAAACTACCAATATTTCAATTTATTCTATAAATTATATTCCATGGTTATTTAAAATGTAATAAAAGTATCAATTAACTCTACCATAATAAAAGTATGCAATATTTAAGTTAATAAAAACAAAAAACAACAAGCCATGCATGGCACAGTCCCCGTTAGTTATCAAATTTAAGACATAAAGTTTTGTTTATAGTAATATAGCTCAGTCCCGTAGCCAGCACTTTTGAATAGGGGGTTCGAAACAACAATAATTAATTTGATGTGAAACGTGTGAATTTTATAATATTTAAAAAGTGTGTTTGAGCTCTGTTAAACATTTTTATATTCTCGATTTTAAATTCAATTGGTTTACTTTGTGTTACGATGGTAAGTTATTTCACGTAACATCTTCGAACTATTTTACCATTTTAGAGGGGTCCTGAGCCATTCCCCACCCACAGACACACACACCCACACCCTAGATCCACTACGGCAACATTTTATACACAAAAAAGACAAGACTGTACGTATCTTAGCATTATTGTCTAAGTATTTTAAGGTAGAATGCTACTCAAGTTTTTTCGCTCTTCACAAGTTAGCGCACATAAAAGTGAAACGATTTCATGCCGAAATCTGTCTACAATTTTCTATTATGTAATTTTATTTCTGTACATAACCTCAGCTCATCGTACAAGATGTAATGGGTAGAAAAGTGCATAGCACGTTTTAAAAACAACATCCATATAAACATATGGTAAGTTAAGCTGGATTCATATTTATCTCGGCGCTTGAAAACTTTTAAAAGATACTGAGCTAGATGATATATGGATTGGTAGTTTCCGTAGCGACGAAGTAAGCCCAGACTGTCAGTATATATTTGCCTAATTGCATAGGGTTACTGACAAAAGATCAGCCCTTAGATCATTATAAAATGGACATATCAAAACAAAGTGAGTTTCATTTTCTACCATGCTAAATTCAAACGTATCACTGCAAAAACTAAAAATTTATTCATCTAACCGTATTTTTTGTGTCTGCCTAATTCAACATTATGTTTATGGCCAAAACAGCGAAAACTCGTCAGTATATATTTTAGTCTATAATTGCTTGCCAATAAATCTCCCAGGTTAGTTATAATACTACTTTGATTTTTCCGAAAGTATACAGCCTGGATGATTGTGAAATTGAGGCATGCCATTCATGCTGATATTTTTTTATCTTTTGAGTAAATATCTCTAAGAAATTTACAGTATCCCCAACTTGTTTTTCAAACCAGACAATGCCGATACCATATTTGAACAGGAGATTTTTATGTGGGTTTCCCAAGTAAACTTGCCAGTCTTGTCTAATCATTTAAGCATGATATAACATGTTTTGGGGTTCCAGCTTTTTTTTACTTCAAGTAATTTTAACCAATATGAGATGCAACTCTTGAAATAACACAGCATAATGGCAGCCTACCACATTCGTCCAACATCGATACATGGTTTGTACAACTATTAACGCTAAGTAGATATCTGCAAAATGTTGTCGTACCCTCTCAATTGCCGAATTTTCGTGCCCCCATATCGCTACTATAGGAAATAGCTGGCACAATGATTGCATCAAACAAATTAAATACACTAACCAATGGCATACTATCAAGTTTCGCACAGTTTGTTGTTTCACGGTAAATCTGTTTTTAGAGGGCGGTAAAATAATATGCATACAGTAGCAGTTTAGCAGTGGTCTCAATTGACTTCAATGACTACATCTCCTTTTTATGAACCCACTTAAAATATAGTGAATTTTCTAAAACATCAAATAAACGTGTAAAAAAATATGTTTGAAAAATATGATTCATT